TATCATACCATAGGTCATGGGACACACAATTCCTTTTGTGCTAAAAGTTATGACCATCTGAAGTTGACCAATCAATAATCTTCATCTAACTGACTGTTGACCCTCATCTACGGTCAGACCTACGGACCGTGGATCGATTGACGGTTCATGCTGGTCAATCGTCAATCGGGACTGAAGCTGGGCTTTTGAGGCATCGATCCACGGACACGAACTACGGTCCATGACCTGACCTACGGACTGTAAGTCCGGCCGTGGGTCAACACTTAGCCAAATTTTCTGACTGAGTCTGGGAGGGGTTGCAGTGGTGAACCACGGACCACCAGCACGGGCCGTGGTCTAACCTACGGTCTGTGGATGGTGACCGTAAGTTGCACCTACAACTTCTCGAAATCTGTATTTTTGGTCTGTTTCGAATACGGGGTGTTACATATATGGTTATTGTAAAAATGTGTATCGTAGATCCAAATCTTGAATAATGAAATGAATATAACTTTTAAAAAGTTTTAAGGATAATATTATTTATGAAATTGTTATTCTATAGGCAGAGTTGGTATGCTTCACTTTTGAGATGTTTAGGCCAAGAGTACTGTATAGGGATTGTACATTCATGAGTTGTAGTTCTCATGGAGTCACGTGTGGACGTTATCGCTCATACAAGTCCCAATCAAAGAGCAAATTGTGCCCACATTGGTAGAAGCCCATCTTCTCATGGTTTGATCAATTGAAAGACATCCTCTTGGTGCAATTACGTAAGTAACAAAAAGAATTTGTTTTTAGTTTTATGTTACTCGAGATGATTTTAATTATACATAAAAAAACTGAAAAAATTATTTTTGTTATTTAATTATTGCAAATAGTCGTAGGAGATCATTTAGTACCCCATATGTGCACCTTAATATATATTAAGACATTTCAAGTGGCCATTATTTTGTGAAGCTTGGACAACAAAATGATGCTCTTTCTACTCTTTGTAGCTTTTCCTATCATTCTTATTTTTCTTCTTCCCAAAGCCAAAAAGAGTGGCAAAAACTATGTGTCACCAGGTCCTATAGGCCTCCCATTCATTGGAAATTTGCATCAATTTGATAGTTTAACCCCTCATATCTATTTTTGGAAACTTACCAAAAAATATGGAAAAGTTCTCATTGAAATTTGGTTCTACTCCAATAGTTGTAATTTCTTCAGCAAAGTTAGCAAAAGAAGTGTTGAAGACACAAGATTTAGTATTTTGCAGTAGACCTTCTCTTCTTGGTCAGCAACAATTGTCTTACACTGGTCATGATATTGGCTTTGCACCTTACAATGATCATTGGAGGGAAAAGACGAAAAATATGTGTTCTTCATCTATTTAGTCTCAAGAAAGTGCAATCTTTTAGTCCAATTCGCGAAGATGAAGTCTCAAGAATGATCAAGAAAATATATGAACAAGCTATTAATTCTAAGATCACCAATTTGAGCAATTTAATGATTTCGCTTACTAGTACAATTATTTGTAGAATTGTGTTCAGTGTTAGGTTTGATGAAGAAGGGCATGAAAGGAAGAGATTTGATTGTCTTTTAGCCGAAGCTCAAGCTATGTCCGTTAGCTTTTTTGTGTATGATTTTTTTCCTTCTTTAAGTTGGATTGATAAACTTATTGGATTGACAAATAGACTTAAGAAAATTTTCCAGAATTTGGATGAGTTTTACGAAGAACTCATTGAGCAACATCAAAATCCCAATAGGCCAAAATCCATGGAAGGAGATATTCTTGATCTTTTGCTACAATTGAAGAAAGAGCAATCAACTTCAATTGATCTCACTTTGGATGACATCAAAGGAATACTTATGGTAATTTTCCGAACCTACCTACTTCTACATGCATCTCGCATACATGTATATACATATACATAATTAGCTAGTAATCATGAGTACTTTTGGGACTAATTTACTAGCTAGTGCTTATATGTAACACATATCTCTAAAATATTTTAAATTGTACCATGACAATTAATATATCACTGTAATTACATAGGGAAAAATCACTATGTAACACAATGATGATGTTAATTTAAAATTTAAAATACTCCAATTACACAACTCTAGAGAATTTATAAGTGGGAAAATGAATGGCATACTTTAAGACCCTAGTGGATTATTATTATTACAAGCAAGGGTGAGTGTATGAGAGAGGCATAATGGATTGCTATATAATTGTGTTTGGATCAATTTTAGCTTTGATTTTTCTCTATACTACTCTAGCAAAATTATCCACCAAAAAACTTCCACCAGGGGCATCAGCATGGCCAATTATTGGAAATATTCACATGTTAGGTGCAAAACCTCATGTATCACTAGCCAATCTTGCAAAAATATATGGTCCAATTATTAGTTTAAAATTGGGACAAATAATAACAATAGTAATTTATTTATCAACCATGGCAAAACAAGCCTTTAAGAATCAAGATCAAGCATTTTCTTCTAGATTTATCCCTAATTCCCTTCAAGCCCACAACCATTACAAATTCTCTGTGGCATGGCTTCCTGTTAGTCCTCAATGGCGAACTCTTCGCAGAATATTGAACACTAATTTCTTCTCTTCCAATAAGCTTGATGCAAATCAACATCTAAGGTCTCAAAAGGTGAAAGAATTGATTGCTTATATTGTGAAAAATGTAGTCAACAAGGTGAAGCTTTGGATATAGGTCAAGTTGCATTCAAGACTAATCTCAACTTATTGTCAAACACCCTTTTCTCCAAGGATTTGGCTGACCCTTTTTCAGATTCAAAGGTAGAGTTGAAGGATGTTATCTGGGGTATCATGGCTGATGTAGGGAAGCCTAACTTAGTGGATTTTTTTCCCATACTTGGAAAGATTGATCTTCAAGGAATAAGGTGTCGCGCAATCATTCATATTGGTAAGTTATTTAAACTTTTTGATGGTTTGATCAACGAGCGATTGGAGGAAAAGAGGAAGGGATTCTGTGAAAAGAGTGATGTTCTGGAAATGTTTCTTAATATTACTGAAAAAGACCCTGAAAAAATGAATCATAATCACATAAGTCCATGTTCGTGGTTCGTTTTCTCTTCTAATTCTTCATGTCCATCCATACTCCATCTAGTCAATGCATTCACAACTTGATTTGCTTCTATGTAACAATGTAGAGTAATTTGTCAGCTAAAACATATGTGTTGAGCCATATCTTTCTCAAAATTTAAAGGATTACAAATGGAGTTTTCCTAGGGCTGGGCATTCGGTTTGTTCGGTTCGGTTTACGAAATTCGGTTCGATTTTTCGGATTTCGGTTTGAAAAAATACAAACTGAAACTGAACTGAAATAAATTCGGTTCAGTTCGGTTTTTACAATTTCGATTCGGTTCAGTTCGGTTAATTTTTTCGGTTCGAATATCATCAACACATACATGAAACACTGATCAATAACACATTAACACATACACACTACATATCAGTGTCTACTACTGTACTACCTACGCTATCCTTGATCAAAGTAAGTGTACATTACTAATATGTAGATAATGTTTTTCCTACCTACTAGGTAAGTGTACACTACCTACTATGTACTACCTACGCTACCTACAAATTATGTGCACTTTGTATGGTCAATCAATCAATTATTGATGTGCACTTAATAAGTGACTATCTTGCACACATACTAATTGCAAAAACTAAGTGCACGTTGCACTAGTGCTTACTGCCTGTGGGAACTGGGAAGAATATAATTGAATATCATCAAGACATTAACACAGACATGAATGATGAAACACTAATCACTAATTTACTATTCAAAAGCAAAATTACGAAGTGGCACTTCATGTTCAAGATTGCAACAAAAAGCTAAGAAACCAAGAGTATTAGACATCAATAACAGTACAAAACAAGAACCAGCAGTCCAGCAATACAAAATAATAATTAGTAGTCAAAACAAGAACCAACAAGACAAAATAAGAATCAGTAACAACACTGCAGTCCAACTCTATCAGAAGAAAGTTGGCATTCCTTGTGTGCATTTCATTGCAGTCCAACAACAACACTGCAGTCCAACTCGATCAGTTCACCATAATAACATACAAACTATAAATATGCCTGAGAGAAAATGGAACTCTTTAGATATATGATAGAAAGTAAACTCAACTCAACGAAAAAAAGAGAAAAACAAGTGTTGAATGCTAATAGAAAAAGATTTTAAATTAAATTTTACTTACTGCTTGATAGTTATAACTACACATCCACAATACTAGATTCATTTCCACTATGAGCCATATCTACAAAAACATGAAAGAACTTGTTAGATATAAGCAACATAAATAAGAAATTATTTTTGATATAATGAACACAAAATATTAAATTCTTACCAAGTTCAAGTAGCTCAAGATATTCTAGATCTTCCTCAACATTAATTGGAATTGGTTCACTTCTATACCAATCTTGAAGAGAAATAAGAGCTTGCACTAGTTTAGGAGTCAATGAACTCCTAAAAGGATCAAGAATGCGACCTCCTGTGCTAAATGCGCATTCAGATGCGACACTTGAAATAGGAATGGCTAATACATCACGAGCCATCTCAGAAAGAATAGGAAATCTTGGCTCATTAAATTTCCACCACTTTAATATATCAAAATGATCAGTCTCTGGCTCAACATCTTCAGCAAGATATCTACCCAACTCTGATTTACTACTTGAACTTCCACTAACTACTTTATGCCTCACAAATTCTAGCTTCGTTCTCATTGATCCTCTTTTTTGAAAGTTATCATCACCGCTCACACTAGATATACTCGATGAGTTCCCAGATGAAGTAGGTGAAGATGATGAAAATAAAGAGACTTTTGATGATTTCTTAACATAATGATCAAACAAAGCTTTCATGTATTTATCCACTGCATCAGCAAGTGGCTCCCCAATTGTTTTTCCAAACATATCACCAATTGCAAAATGAACATAATCAAGCTTGTTTCGAGGATCCAACACAGCTGATATAAAAATCATTTTGTTCATGTTATCTGGTTCTCCCCAATATTTTCTGAATTTGTCTCTCATACTTTCTGCCATTTTTTTCAAATTAGAATCTTCATTTTCTGTCATCTCTTTCAAAATAAGATCAAGCTCAGCAATTTCCACAAAGTGCACATTATTTGTAACATACTTTGAACCAGAGACCTTCAAAGTAAGTGTATAAAAAGTTTCAAGAAACTTAATCATTGACCTCACATTTTCCCAATCAACACTAGTGAGGACACCTGCTTTAGTTCCATCTTCACAATCATGGGTACGGAGATAATCAAGAAACCCAATATCATAAAAACTATCTTTCAAATGCAAGTTCAAAGTGTTGTGCAGTATCAAGCATCAAGTATGTAGAGTTCCACCTAGTAGGAACATCTAAACATAATGATTTCTTACAAGTTATCAATTGAGATTCACAACATTCTTTAAATTTTTTAATTCTTGCAGGAGATTGTCTAATGTATTTCACGGCTTGCCTCACTCGCTTGACTGACTGACCAACTTCCTTCAACCCATCTTGCACAATAAGATTAAGAATATGTGCCATACACCTCACATGAAGATGCTGACCCTCCATTATGTTAGTTCCCCAATTAGTCAGTTGCTTAGATATTTCTTTAACAGTAATACTGTTGGAACTAGCATTATCAACTGTTATTGTAAACACATTATCCAAACCCCAATCAAGCAAACAATGAGTAATGGAAGCTGCCATATCATCACCTTTATGACTAGAAATAGGACAAAAATTTATAATTCGTTTATGCAAAGTCCAATTTCTATCTATAAAGTGGGCTGTTAGACACAAGTAGTTGATTCTTTAAATTGACGTCCAAGTATCTGTCGTAAGACAAACTTTTTGGACGTGCTTCTTTGAAAGACTTCTTCAAGAGTTTTTTTTCTTCACTATAAAGTTCAAAACAATCTCTTGTCAAAGTTCTACGAGAAGGAATATAAAATTGTGGCACTGTAAGTTTCATGAAATTCCTAAAACCTTCCTTCTCAACAATACTAAATGGCAACTCGTCAACAATTATCATTTGAGCTAAAGCTCTTCTACTTTGTGCTTGATCAAATTTTCAAGTGCTAATCACCCCTTCCTTTGCTCCCATTGAAGATGGTAAAAAATTTATTAATTTCTGACCATAATCTTCGGTAGAGGGAAAGTTAGGACACTTTTTTTAGTCATATGGTTATTCATAGAGGAAGTACCATTACCTTTTGTAGCAGCAGCATACGTTTTTCCACAATAATTACATTTTGCTTTAGTAGCTCCAGATGAATTTCTCAAAATGCTTCCAACAAGCAACCCTAGGTTCCATGGCTTTTCTTTTCTTTGAAGCTTCAATGTCAACTTCAACTTCATTCGGAGATGAAGTATTATGTATGGTATCATTTGAAGCCCCACTTTCACTTATCTTACTTCCGATTTTTGTCATCTGCGGAAAAAAAAAAGAAAATATGTGAGAACTTAGAACCCATACGAAAATCAGTGAGAATCACAAGAAATTGATATGTATAAAGTATAATGGAGAATCGCGGCCAAGAAACTTACTCTTCAGGTCGATGGCTGAGCTCGCCGCCTCGCACAGTCGCAGACTTGCGGCTATTCTTCACTCTTCACTCGCGCAGAAGGCAGAACTTAGTTTGGTGTGAAAATTGAAATGTGAATTGTGAATTAGGAATTTAGGGTGGATAAGGATTTAGGGATATAATGGCTATTGGGCTTAGTTGGGTTGGGCTTTTAGTTATGTCACTTAACAACTAATTCTTAAAAATATATATGTAGTAAATATGTATTACATAAATTCGGTTTTTCGGTTAACCGAAATAAAAAACTTAAAAACCGAAAACCGAACCAAATTACCGAAATTTTAAAATTGAAAACCGAAACCAACCGATTTAACCGAAAAACTGAAACCGAAATTAAAAAAAAATCAGTTCGGTCGGTTTTTTCGGTTTCGACCAAATTATGCCCAGCTCTAAGTTTTCCCTCCTTTCAATTTCCAAGTTAAAAATAATTTTACAATAGTTCCCCTCTGCTTATTATTATTACTAGTATATGTGCCCCGTGTTGCGCGGATGATTTAAAATGTAATAATTTTATAATTAAAAATAATTAATAAAATGTATAATGCACTTAATAATATATTTAATTTATTATAATAATAATATAATAAAAGAAATCATTAACTTGTGTATTTGAGCAATATTAAATTAATATTATTAGTACACAATTTAATTTATTATATTAAAATATTATATATAAAAAATTTATTCTTTTTATGTAGTTTGAATAATAAATAATAATTTATCAATTCTAACCCTTCCATATGAAATATTTTATATCATAAGACTAAATAATATGTTGAAACATTTTATATATGTTTATTCAAATTTAAAAGATTCAAAATATTATTTATTGTATTAATTTGTGTAAAATATAATATAAAATTAAAAATTATCTTAATTAGTACAATCACTATATTCGATTTAATCAATGTATGTAGATGATATATTAAATTTTAATTTTAATTATATCAGAAAACGTATAGATATGAATGAGAGGATGTTTATTTGAATTTTATCCGATAAAGCTTATTATATGTAATTATAGTTATCTTTGAATTCAAATTTAAAAAGGTAAAAATTGAAAATTAAAAGCTTATCGTATATTTTAAAATCGCTATTTTCAACTTAATTTAATGTTGTTATATAATATTGGGAATAGTCTTAAATTTGCTAAATGACTTATAATAGTGATATTGTTCAAGATAGAATTTAACGCTAGCTAGATCATAAATATTATGTATCTTAAATTCAAAAGTTTAAATTTTATTTCTCATAAAATTATTTTCCAATTTTGAAATTTGATTGTCCTTTAAAAGTAATATTATGAAAACATAACTTAATACCTTCTATGTTTATGATAGTGATAAAGACTATCATTTTAATAATTTTTGCTATGACGATTCCTCATGTATCTTGTGCTAAGGTTGAAAATCTGTAAAATTAAATAAATTTATTTATATAAATAAATAAATAATAATAATAATAATAATAATAA